TGGCTTTAAAACAAAGTAAATATGTTAATACGATTGCCACCGGTCTCTAAAATGTGTTGTTTTATTTTCGTTAGTCATTTATTTTATAGTACACTAGCTGTTCCCCTGCGGCTTCATCCGCGTGAAATCCACGTTTACATTTCTTAAATTATTCATAAGCCATAATAACATTAATGTTGGCAGCTTATAGTTTATGGTCCCTTTCCCACATGAAAGTATTTTTTTGCAATTTATTTACCCCTTAAGTTTAATAGCATGAAAATGTATAGCCTAAAGCGTGTCGTAAGTGTAAGGCTTTATTAAAAAAGAATTATTCTAAACTATGCAGTGATTGCTGTTATCTTAAGCCTCAAAGAAGTGTGTGTTTACGCTTTATTATATTAGTAAAGAAGTATAGATATGATACAATAGGATAAAAACATAAACACATGGCATTATAATAAATGTCGAAGTCTTACGATAAATTATTTTCCTCTTTCCATTTCTTTCTTATTAGAAAAGAGTGGGAAGAAGAGGACTAGAATTAGGACTTTGTTGAACCTTGTTATCAAGTGAAACGCGGAATTATTTCCACTTAAACCTGTACCTGCGGGGCAACAGTCGAGCGGGCCATTTGTCTAACAGCTAATGTTGTTGTGGAAGGTATGTTACATTATTGTATTTAATTAAGCATTAACATTTGCACAAGACCTTGCATTGGATAACTACAACATTCATCATCTGTTAACAATACAGTGAAGCTTCTGTTCGTTTTATTCTGTAATTAACAACGAAGTTTGTTGAGTCGTGCTCCGCAAAATGAATATCATTGTTGTTCCATACCGAAGTTAAATTAACTTGCTCGCAGCGTCGCCCGCCATCTTTACTTTTATAAGACAAAAACAAATTATGTTTACTTATTATGTTTATCTTGTAAAGACTATGCTTGAAGAATTTTAACGACGTATAATTGTATAGTGATTTACAAAGAATATATTATCATTTTTAAGGCTTGTTTTAAATAAGAGAAATTATCTACAATTCAAAATGACTAGTGCCGTATTGTCCAAGCATCTTCTCTACGCACAGTTAAATTCTGTGGACCTAATTAAGCAAGCTATCGCTACGATATGATATATAATATGAGCAATAAAAAACTATCATCGTTTTTTGCTTTCGTAACTTTATTTATTGGAATGAAATAGTGAAACTCGGTTGACTTTTAATCTCAACTTCTACTAAGTTATTCACTTAGTCCGTGTGAAAATAACCGTAAAACTTTTGAAGACTGCTTTTAAGATAACAGGAGAACCGAATAAAAAGAAAACTTTACGCTTAGACGCAAGTGAGATTAGTTTTGTACTTACATCTTAACTTTTTTTTCTCTCGTCTTGATCTTGTGTACGAACTCATAACAACAAAGAAATTGTTTAAAAAACGACTTATAATATAAAAAACGTAACTTAAAACATTATTCTCCCGGTAACTGAGATAAGGTGACTCTTAATTGTATGAAATTTTAATTAGCACACGACGAGGGTATATTTAAAAATCCAAACACTAAAAAGGATTGTTGGTATCATCCATATTAAATTAAATAATTTAACATTTAAATAGCCTTGGTTTAGATCGATTATAGACGAATAAAATATGGGTGTTTAAATGTTTTTTAGACGTCGAAAGGGTCAAGAAACGATTTCATGTTTATAAGACTAACGGGAAATATTTTCCGCAAATCTTTACATGATCAATCGTCTGGGATATTGAAGCTCTATAAGTATTATGGTAAACATATTCACAATATATCGAGCATGGAATCTATGATTTGCGACTTACGCAAAAACAGAACACCCGATATTTGAGATTTGATATTCAAATTGACGATGACATTTTAGTAAGAAATAAATCAAGAATTACAGAAAATATTACGGGATAATACTGCTTAAGACAGGAGTGGATACAGATATGACGGCTGATAGAGATGTATGGAAGAGCAGCACATATTGTGCCGACCCTCCGTAAGCGATAAGGGGATGATGATGATGATGAGAAAATAATACGGGAATTAAAATCGCTTTAGTAAAAGTTAAAGCTACATATATCTAAATATTGTTGTACGTTGTACGTGTAATGCTATGAGGACAAGGGACATGTTCGTTTGTTTTATTACTAACGGATTTCATACATTTTTTAGGCAAAACTTATCGTGATTTAAAATGCCGTGGATTAAAGTCCGGCAATTCTCTTGAGAAATCAGTGTGCGATCGTTGCTGATATCGTTTAAATCCCTAAGTAATGAAGAATTCATAAAGGTCGAAGCGTTATGAAAAATTGTTCGTGTGAGCTGTCAAATAAATGTACTAGAACTGTGTGAATTCCCTAAATGAATTAAGATGCTGGGATAAAGATTTATTTGCAAATAAATCATACATTTTTTATAACCTAAAAATAAAGTAACGTTTATCTGATGTTTGTTTGAAATCAAAGAAGATATTTTACTGAACACGTCTATATTCTCAGATTGCAAACAGAATTTGGATAAAAATAAAAACAGTGGAACGTATATATAAAAGTTGCAACCTGAAATTAAATATTGAACAAAAACAGACAGCAGGTGAAGGTTTATCTCATGTTCTTTTAAGTTGAAATTCAGCGAAATTCTTTAGTGTTTCTTTGTACTTTGTAATGTTGGTAATTAGCGAAAATATATTCTGTACTTGGGTTATTAACACGGGTGCGAACGCGGAGATAAGCTCCAACTGCGGCAATAAGCCAATGTTAACCTTAATAGTTGTGAGCGCATTTAAATTTTGCTTACTTTATGATCTAATTTGATATTCATAGTAAGCTTCCTTTTAAGTTATTAAAACTTTCTAAGTAACGTAACGAGTATTTATATATCTTATTTAAATAATTGAAAAACGTTTATACTGCCTTTGGAGAGGAAGTCCTTCAAACTATTAAAAAAAAATAAAAAAGAAGAGCATAGACATATTTTTTCACATATTTTATAAGATTTTTATTTAAATTACTTTTTTGTACAAAATACATTTTACGAATGACAAATTCACATACAAATTTTCCATTGCTAACAAAACTATGCTAACTATGTCCATAAAACTTTATGTCCGTCCCGAGGGAGTACCTTTTATTTTGGGTCAATCGAAAAAGAAAATTTTCGGGACGTTCAAATTATTTAATTTCAGATGCACTATGAATATCAACGTTATTTTCAAAGGTAACAAAAGCGTTACTTTTTATGAGTTTTTAGATTATTTCTAGACTACTAAAGTTTTTAACTCGTTCCCTATAAATACTTCTTTATGTTAAAAACGTCTTTTCAATTTAATCTTTTCCTTTTTGGTTGCATTTCTTGATACAACCATAGTTGTGTGTAAAGCAAGTGACAACTGAAGACGATCATTGAGAGGAAGGCAGAAAACAAATTTATCTTTCAATTAAAGCAAAAATAATGCCTCTCTCACATTGATGTTTTGTAAGATTAGTTCTTTTATAGAATATACACTACAATCTTTAGAGACATGATGCATACATGCTTCATGCATATGATCGAATAACCTGTTTCCAATTTTGTAGTCTATTCATTTGACCGCCATTTCGACTAACTAGGTCAAAGGTCACTCGGTAACGTTTGATGGAAGCGAGCATATCGTTTACATTTTTAATTTAAAGGTTTATTTTTAAATTAATTTCGAAATAAAACCACTTTAAAGCAGTAAGGTAAAAACGCAAGTAAATTTTAGTACCATTTTGTTACATTTTAAATTGCCTAGTACGATTAGATAACAACGAATTTAACAATCGGTATGTAACGTAAAGGTTTTAAGTCAAAGTCATTACTAAAATAAAAAGGTTACGGTTACGAAATACTCTCGGTAACAAATTTCTTCACGAACCCTTCCGGAAGCCGAACAAACTCAATACAAAGCTTAACTGGATAAAAATAAACGTCTGGAAGCTTCCACGTGCCTATTAATTTGTAAGAAACGTGACTACGATACGCCGCAGGGTGGGTAATTCACGTGACTTGGCCGTTTTAAATTCGAATTTCGGGCTAACGAACAAAGGATTGCTGCTCACTTTTGTATCGAAGTTGCTTATACTTAGTAATATATCATATATCACACAACAACAACCTGGATCGTAAGAGCATGTATATCTAGTTTTCATCAACCTGCCTTTGTTGCTACGGACGATCATCAAAACATTCTGCTTGTCCATACATCTCTATCAGCCATCGACGTTTGTGATATGTGATCTCGACGTTTTTTGTTACAAATTTAATCTTAACAAGGGTATTTAAGTACCATACCTTCGAAGAGACGTAAGTTTCATTTAATTTTTATTAGTCACAATAAACTGAGCTTTATAAGAAAAAATCTTGAGAAAATTGTAAGTTTTATTTCTAGCAAAATGTCGTTTTCCTCTAGACATTTATTGCATTTACATTTTAAAGCAAGTTTCTTCAGTACTGGTAGTTTCTTAGCTCTTCATTAAATTTTAAGTCGCAAACCAATTAAAATGTTAATGAATTCAAGACGTTTTTCTTAGTTACGATAAAATGCTACCTTTTAATTAAGATTATACAGTTTACAATTTTCATTTAACCAACGTTTTATTTTATTTTAATTAAATAGTAGATAAACGAATCAAGTTGTACCTGGATTTAACTTTTTTATCAACATATAATAAAATTGGAGTGTCTGTTTGTAATATCAACAGAAAAAATTTCAGAGTTCAGGAAGATGATGTATTATATAATAACGAAAATCGCATTTAAACAATTGTTGTCTGTCTATCTGTCCGCAAGCCGCGTTTTCCGGGTAGTCTCCGAAAAGGCTGGGCAGATTTCGATCGGAATTTCACTAAGGGTAGCCGACATAGACGGGAATATTATAGGCTACTTTTTATCTTAATACTGCGTGGACGAAGTCTCGGGTAACAGCTAGTATAAAATACGTTTTGATCCAAAATGGTAAACAACAAGAATAAAACTAATACTGAATATAATATTGTATATTTTTACAAATTTATTAAATTACATATTTACTGAGATTAATACTTCTATGATAAAGGCACCTCCACTGACGACTTATACAAGAAACTTCGCTATGTTAAATGTGATCTGAAAGACACGTAAACAAACTCTCTACAATATGCTTTAGTTTATAAGCCTATTAATTTTTTTTTTTAAAAGACAAACGACCTAATACTGAAACCATGTAACAGCATCATAAATCTTTTTCCTTTGGTAAATGCAAGCAAATTAGATTCTCAGTGTAAATTTGCTAGAAAAGTTATAACTACCTTTTATCACATTGTATATCGCCACGCCAATTATAACGGCAACAATCAGAGGAATGCATAAGAAGACCATCTTGAACAAATTACATAAAACGAAACTGAAAAATAATTAGATAATTTATATCTACAGCATGAAAAGATGAAGCAAGAAAGCAAGCAACGTAGCTCGAGGTTCCAATAAAAATATTGTGAACAAAATTTTCCTCCAGAAGTAAAGTTAAGAACTAAGTGTAATCTATCTACCCTTATATACTTAACATGTAAAACATAAATATAATTACCACATTTCTAAAAAATATATGTAAAATCGCTATAAACAAAAAATATATTTGATCTTCATTGAAAATTGACAACATACGTTAAGAACCAAACGTCAAGAAGAAAATACAGATTAAAATAATTCTTCTACAGATCATAAACACATAGAAAGCAAAACTATCGATTATGAAAGCCAAAGGAGCAGTCTTTTTGTATGCGAATCGAAGTCCAATTAAGTATATTTAAGAGACGTTTGTAAATCGTTTAAGTAAAGAAATAGCTATTATATCTAGCGGTAGGTTAATTTGTTAATAAAACGAACTACAAAAAACAATGAGAATAATTTATTTCTAATCTCCAGTACGTTAAAGCCTCAACGTTTCTTAAAATTATATCATCAAGTAAGGTTTTTATTAAATAAAACAAGGGTTTCAATAATAACATTCTAAATAACTATAAAATATATACAAGGTCTTTGATTACTTTATTACACTTTGTCCTCGTCCTTGGTACGTCTTGTTCTCTGTAATCAAACGAATCATACTTCATACTAATATTATCATACTATCATACTTATACTTATTTTATTCTTATTAATATTATAAATGCGAAAGTTTAGATGGATGGATGGATGTTTTTTAAAGTTTGTAGCCTAAACGACAGAACGGATTTCGATGAAATTTGGTAAGGATGTAGAGGATAGTCTGGAAGAAGACATAGGCTACACACTTTATTTTAAGCCCACACGGAGGTAGTCTCGAGCGAAAGCTATTTATTACATAAATATTTGAAATATTGAGAAGATTTTTTCACAATTGTTTGTACTATTTGTAATACGTAGAACACGGACTAATGTTTATCATTAGGGTTTCTTAGAAAACATAAAAAAAATACTCGAATTTTGTCTACACATTAACTTTTGTATGTTGAACTTTATTATCATAATGATAAATACTTACAAAATACTTCAAATGCAAAAAGAAACCAGAAGATTATAATTCCAATGGCAACAACCACAACTGTCGTAAGCAACTGTATAGTATCCCTTATTGTGCTAAAAATTATTCTTAAACATCTTTTAGTCCTATAACAATAACAATTTCAAATTATTAAACAATTTATGGAGCGCATTCAGCATAAATTCTTTTGTTTGTCTATACCAATATACTCGTATATCTATACTAATGTTATAAAGAAGAAAGATTTGTATTTTTATATGTATTGGAATAACGCAAAAGCTACTGGGCCGATTTCGAAAATTCTTTGACTATTATAAAGCTACGTTATCAGTAAGTAACATAGGCTATGCTATTTATCATTTTTAATTTCACACGGACGAAATCGCGAGCAACAACTAGTACAATAATAAAGAGGAAAGATTTAATAGTTTGCATTGAATAGGCTCTGAAACTACTACACTGATTTCAAAAATCCCTTCACCAAAAAGCTACATCACCACTGCGTAACATAGGCTTATATTTATTACTTATTTTCTCGAAAACTATGTTAATACAAACATGCAAACTGCTAACCCAAAGCCAAGCTTACACACTGACATTAGGGACTTTTAGTAAATAGATATATGTAAATTTAAATTCTACATCATACCACATTATTATATTATAACATAGGTTATTTTATTGTTATTGTTATAGTTATACTGTAAATAATAAATTATTTATGTTTATTATACAAGGAACTATTGAACAGTCTGGAACAGTCATCATTGACAGTTGGCAACCCAATGTCGTAATCTGTGTTGCCAGTCTATTGATAATTAAAACATGTGTAATCCTTTTGGGAAAAAAAGATTACTCATATAAAAATCTATAAAGATTTGTAATAAATACCATATTTGAGTATTTTATTACATATCTTTAAGATTCAGGACATACATCTTTAAGATTCCATTTTTATCTGTTTGTACTGATAAATGAATATAAGGATTTTAGACTATGAGATCCGTCGCAATCCTTTGTTTAATAATGATATATGTCGTTATTTTGCTCTTAATATTTAAGCTCCACCATCACACGGACTTTTACAAGAATTCAAAGTTGATATCAAGTGTTTTGTGGAATATTGTTGTCCTTAGGTCAACAAGCATCAATTTTGTGAAGAAGTTATGAATCAAAGTAGGCTTAAGAGCGCGCGCACTTCTGGATTGCACTACTTTTTTTTACCTCTCTTTGATTTCTATGACCTTATGTAGAGATGTGCACACTACTCGATTTTTAGTTGTGCAACTAAACAGTTGAATTAGCTGTGAAACAATCGACAATCGCACAATAGTTGTGCGGTAGTTTATTCAAAAGTGTGTGACCGTTCTAAGTTTGAAATTCTTGCTTTATGTAACGTTAGTCTTGAGGGCGTACGTACGCAAGACGGTGTTTAATATTCCAGTGGAACGCTTTGAAGTGCTGTTATCGTTATGTTAATATCAAAATTCGTATTAGCCAAGGGTTTGTTGACGTGGGCGGTTGGGATGTTGAGCGGCTGGGCGGTCGCAGCCAAGTTTACATGTAATGAGGGTACCACGGTTGTTTATTTTGGCAAATGAATGATAAAATCATGTTTATTGCGGTATTGAGTAATTAAACAAATGAAAGGAAAGTTAAAACAAGAAGATACTTATTTACAAACAAAAAAATCTGCATTATTAATGTTGTATGGTAAATTCAATTCGATAATCATGATTTACTGCGTTCGTAGTTACTGTTTAATCACAATAAATACTTTTTGCGTTACATAAATTATCTTTTTTTTTTTCTTCATCTTGCATTTGTTTGTCGATATCAAAAAGTTGTCATTGAAAGTTGTCGTATGTTCATTGGATAAATTGACATATTTTATAATGATTATTTTATAATTGTACTTGAAATCGTCAAAATAAAGGAGCAATCATGGGTTGTGGCTGCTCAGCGGAAGGGCAAACCATCGCCAGTTATATTTTTATGTTTGAGAGGTTAGTTGTTATTTACATTACAGATGTCTTCCACCTTTTCACGTTAAACTAAGCTATGTGAAACATATCAGCCATTAATTGTTTCCAAATTTGTCCTTAATTGAGTACTCATCATCATCATCATCATCTCCCAAGTACACCAATTATTATATTTCAGATTTGGTTCGGCAATAGCACTAACTTTAATAGTCTGCTGCATGATGTTGACGACTGTAGGCATGCTGTCTCTAGGTATCGGCTTGGGGTACAACTACTGCTTTGTAGATTTCAAAGTGAAAAAACTCTACGGTAATATTCATTACATAATAAACGAAAAATACAGAACCAGTGTGGGTTGAGAAAGACAGAAAGTAAAGAGGGATGGATTGTAAGATTGGATTAAAAGAGAATGCAAGAAGGGAGTCAAAATACGTTGACTTCTAGAGAATGCTAAATTAGAATGTTTTGCCAACCGCTTTTGAAGAAAAAGTGCGTGAAGAAGACTAGGATGAAAGCAGTGTTAAATGTTCGGTAGCATTTAAAAAGATGTTTATTAATTTATTTAATCTATTTCAGAACATGACACCCCTAGAAGGTCGCTAATACGAAAAAGGAAGTCGATTCCTGACGAACTAAATTACACCTCAGAATTCGACGAAGATAATTTCAACATTGAACCAACGATGAAAATTCCCTTGCATAGTAATATTAGCTTCTCAATGTTAATATCGAAAATTAAAAAAATGAACAGAAATGTTACATTAGAATTGCTAGCAACGTAAAATTATTTTACGTCTCATTCGATTTTGGCATTGCTTTTTGCTGTTATGGTAAATTTTAAAAATTCTACATTTATTTTATTATTGATCATCTCAATCAAAAATGTGTTGGTTAAATTAATATTTTTATAGATTTGTATTAAATATGTTTTTAAATATATGAATGAATTCATTTTCCCTGATAATTCGAGCAACAGACAAAGCATTGTACTTTCCGTTGTCATTTTGACATTTTGACTAATTTATGAGTTCAAACCTTGTATATAACTATTTTTTTCAATAGTTTATATTAAGCAAAACTAGGGGAAAGAAAATCATCAAACTGTTCTGGTAAAAGAAAAAATAGAGATAACAAAACCTTCGATCACATTTTTACTCCTTCAATTCATAAATAACTGGCCTAAATTTTATATACCGTTTTATTTTAACACCTGTCACTAATGTCATAAAATCTTTAAAACATTTGTACAATCTGAAAGATTTATATGAATGCATTGAAATATCAATAATGATATAATACGCTTACTCGATGCATTTAGAGAAAACATACGATATGGGGAACTACGCCATCTTAGAGAATGAGTACATTCCGGTGATAATGAAAAAGTGAGTAACGTTTTATCACCATGTAGATGTCTCGTAAACAAGGATTTTCACCTTCTATTTCTTACAACACTGCATCTTCTGTTCTTTCCCTCTCAGTGTTTTCATATGTACATAATTTACCCGACCTTCTTGAAGGAAAATATTTTGATCCAACCTGCATATATCGACGAAAAAATTTATAGATGTGTGTGATTGTGTTTTTTTTTTAATAAATAGGTGGCAAACAAGCATGCGGCCACCAGAATCCACCGTAATGGAATGCGACCGCTGCCCATAAACATCCGCAAATGCAGATGCGTTGCCAACCCTTAATTGACAAAGGAGGAGACGCATATAAAGAGGACATTACCCCTTCCTATGCGTCTCCTCCACCGTCAATTCTACTTTTCCTACCCATCCTTTCCTCTTAAGAAAGGGTGGAAAGGGAAAGGGAAAGGGACTAAAAATGTGTGAAGTCTAGATTTGTGCGAAGGAAATGTGTTTAGTAAATCTATAATCTAATTTGACTTTGTCAATGACTCTATACTATAATCATGTATGTATGCTTCTCAGCAAACCTCGTTGGATGTGCTGCGCGATGGTTGCTACAGGACTGTTGATGTTAATGTTGTTCTCTGTCGCTGTTGGGGTGGTCATTGCCTACGTTCATTGCTACATTGAACATAGAAGTGGTATGTACAGTACAAGTTACATGTTGTAAATACTCAAAGAATATCTTACTCAAACAAATTTTATCGTTTACATGAATGTGCCAAAAATGATCATACACACAAGATAACGTTTAAAACACAAAAAAAAATGGTAAGGCTGAATAGGAAATGGCGTTCGAAATCAAGCTTGAACTGAATGAGGCTGGTAAATAGCAATCTGCTGCGCCGGAAATCGACACTAGATTGAAGACAGTCCTATTTTTAGTGCCAAATTTTTGCGCGCCTTAAAATGTCTTACAATAAAATGCACCAGCATCTATTTTATAATGACATAACAAAATTAATGATCAAGATTATTTTTTATGTGTGAACCATAAAGTACTTCGGTCTAAATAAAGCGGTCTCTGAAATGACTTCACCACTTATCATACTTTGTGATTCTTCTGAAGTTATGTTGAGAGTGTTGAATCATTTAAGTCGTTAGCTCCTATAAAATTATAAATCATGGTGAAATATCATATAGGGGTGTAAATGTTGGTAGCAAGAGCTGGAGATGCATAGCAGTAAAGTGAGTGTTTTCTGTTTTCCCAGGTAAACGTACACAAGAATTAAATTTGCAGATAACACGTACGGGGACCCAGCAAACGAATGGAACGCAGTCAGCAATGGACGAGGCTTTGACATCAAGCCTATTCTTCGCGAAGATCATCGACCTAGGGCGGGCTATCATCGAAGACGGGCACAACTATATTTACTCCTACAAAACGAAAACCTCAAACAAAACAGAAGACATTAAAGTGTTTCAGTAAATTACAGCAAATAATTGTTTTTGATTTTTATAAATTCTAATAAAAAGTTAAAGAAATTTCGACGCTAATTTGTTAGAAGTTTATGATTTAACTGTATTAAACATTTGTTTTCCAAAGTAGTGTTTTTACTGTTATGAATACAGAAAAAAATAGTTTAGTTACAAAAAAAACCAAAATGTTTATACAAGGAATAAAATACAATAAGCAGAAGGTGTGAAGACCGAGCATGGTAAATTAAATCTTGAGGAAAACCAAACTCCTTTTTAAGAAGCTCCCAAACCACATCACTTCTGTTTTTGACGTTTTCGCGCAAGCAAGTAATAATGACGTACGTGTAACCACATTTCTGTTTATTCCTCATTTTGTTTTTTCATACTTAAATGTGAATAATATTTCAATTGCTTTATTTAAAACATGTATCTTTTTGGACACGACTGTACGAAACGTATGACCTTCGACCGTTTATGATCAATTTATATTGATTTAACAAGCACTTGCCGGTTGCGGGTTCAATGACCGGGCTAATGCAATTAAAAACTTTTTAGAATCAAACTATGAGACCAGTGTTTCATAACGTTTAAATACATTATAAAACACTGGTCTCATAGTTTAATTTCATTCATATATTTTTCCGCTTTGTCCGCGTGGAATTAAAAAAAAAGTAAATAGCCAGCTGTTCTTTCAGACTATCCTCTACATCTGTACCGAAGAAGAAGATCCATCCATCCATCTCAAGTTTCTCATTTATAATATTAATGATTAATGATTAGTAGGAAGTCAGATTGATGCAGTTATCCAGCTTTACACATTCATCCACAAAAAGTATCTGGCCTGGTATCTAGATTAAGAAAGGGCACTGTCTCGTTTAACACACGTAGCGACCCGGAGCCTTAAAAATTAAACTTTTGTGGAACGAAAAAGAATGTTCATTACTGTTTGTATTATTCATTTTTCATTTCGGTCCACAAAGAGAAACAGCCGTGTCAGTTTGATACTATAAAGCGTTAATTTTGTACTCTTAAATCCATTGAAGCATTACAATTTTACAATATAACAAAGGATAAATTTGTTCCGTGCAAAAAAGTACATAAATGACAGTTGAACGCTCGAAGTTTCACTCTTCCAATAGTATAACTAAAACGTGATTTTACATGGGTTTTTACTGTTACACACTGATAAAAATCGTCTTCCTTATAACACGTATTTGATAGACGAAGAACTCTACGATGTTATGACTGATTGTCACACACAAGAACAAAGGACAATGAATGCTCAATGTAAACTGCATACTTCAAATCATACTCACAACTATGTTACTATCGTTTGTACTATACAAATTCCGCCATACCAATCTATATTTGTTCATCATTATATATTAGTTGAACTACGTTTGAATATTTGACTGACATTGATAAATACCTAAGAAAAGTAAAGTTATAGACCAAGGTCCCGTGATTAGCAGGTTTACGTCATTTTAGGAAGGCTAGGTTACGATATATCAGATGCATTAGTAATTTATTTTTTAAATATGGTAATACTAGCTTTCGCGCGCGACTCCGACCACGTGGCATTAAAAAAAAACAAAAGTCAGTAGCCTATGTGTTTTCCTAGAGTATCCTCTACGTCTATGCTAAATTTCGTCGAGATCTGTTCAGCCGTTTAGGTTACAAACTCTAACAAACATCCATCCATCTAAACTTTCGCATTTATAATTTTAGTAACATATACCAGATTTTTTGGTGTGCTGATTAACAATTGTAATAAATTGAATTGCGTCCCATTCCTATAAACACGTGTATTCTGGGAAAAATAATTCACAATGCATTGGTACCTAATTAGTTGCATCATTATTTGAGGAGATTCACAAGGTATTCCCGCGGACATTCTTATGTCATACTTGTTATGTGATCACGTTTAATATTCAAATTCAAGGCCACAATTTACCGAAACAAAAGCAAATGCGTCTTTATAAAAGTACTAAGGTATAATATGTACACACCCTTGTTAAAAAATATTTAGTTGCTTTTTATACGACATTTTTTTAATGTAACTATACAGAATAAATAAAAGATAAAGTTTGGTTCAGATTATTCATTTTATTTCAATAACAAATCACTGAAAATCTTATCCTACCTACAAAATTACACAACAAGACGTAGGTAAATAAAATGAATTATACTTAGTTCAAGTCGTTTAACTAGTAAAAAAAAATTAACAACATAACTATAAAAAATTAGGTCGAAACCCGTAAAGTCGAAGGAGTAAGGTAAGTAAAAAACAACCGTCGAACAGCGAACGTATCGTTTCGTCTCATCACTCGACAGTACGACTCTGTCGGAACGTTGCGCGCGCGCGTCAACGTTTTACCGCCAACTCTTATTGCATTTACAAATAAAATACTATTTCAATATTTATTCAATAAAACAATACGTGAAATATAAAGTAAATTAAGTTTTTTTTATTCATTTGTAATAAATAAGGTTTTTGTCGCACTAAGAATTATAACCTTGAATTATTGAACAACAGGTTAAGGCTGTTCATAGTGAAAGTTTTAATCTCGAGTTCGATGACATAATAGCATAACAATTATGTGTGTGTTTTAAATTTTGTGTGGATTTAATACAAATACTGTGAAAGAAAATAATTTACTGTAAGTATTTCCTTATACAGTATTTTTAATTTTAACTCGGCGATGTGCATAACCTGTTTATTGCAAGAAGTGATTAATTTTTGCACCGAGACGTGACTTTTTCGAAATATAGTAACTAAAATTTCGATTTAAACATAAAATATTTAAAAGCAACCAATACTTTTTGACTTTTATTACATAGTAACATATTCTAATTAAATAAATTTGATTGAAAATTAACTCAATTGAGCTTTATTAAACAAAAACGTATGCGTTCACCGTAATTGTACATTTGGTTCCGATAAAACTCGAATCCGGGACTTACAAGACTCGGACTGAGATACCAACCTAAACGCAATATTAACTCCTTGATCAATTTAATTAAAAAAAATGTAAGCCCTTTAAAACATCAAATGCAAATAAACTTTAAGTGATTTATACAAACATATGCTTTTCTTCAATAAATCTTATGTATTAGTTATATGTACTACAAAATATAGGTATGTGTACGTATACGATGGTTACTGTGATATTCCGAGAATTTTATCAACAATCGTTTAACGTCTCGTTTTCTTTCCGAGAACGTATCGTATATGAGGATAACGTTAATAAAAACTAGTTATTCCGATCGATGAAATAAAAAAAAATACATTACGAAATTACATTTATTACATTCGAGTACTGCAAATAGTCGATAATTTTTAGTTATGTTTCTTTTATGTTTTTTTTTTAATTATTTGATAAAAGAGTACTAAAAAGACAATAACTTTACCACCTATAAATTTTACTTCTTTAATTCAAATAGCAACGATACACTTTTCATCTATTCTTCTATTCTAATATTATACAGAAGAAAGATTTTTATTCTTGTATGTATTGAAATAACTGAAAAACTACTGGTCCGATGTCGAAAATTATTTTGCCATTAAAAAGCTACGTTATCGCTGAGTAAGAAAGGCTATATTGTTTATCATTATTTTTAATTTCACGTGGAAGAAGTCGCGAAAAACAGCCAGTGTTTTATATATGCGTATAATATTGCTTCAGTATTCAGACTGTAGATAAATCACGTTTATACCAGTGGTAACAAGAACCTTCTTTATTAAACTTAAGTAGATAAGAATTCGCAATAATGCTTAACAGATACGTATTGTGCAATACTTCTAACTCATATACTTACATATACATCATACTAATATTATAAATGCGAAAGTTTATATAGATGGATATTTGTTAGTTTGTAGTCTGAACAGTCTGAACATATTGCGATGAAATTTGATATCTATTTGTAGACAACTTATTTAATTTATAATGTCGCTTTAAACTCAGAGCAACACTTCTCGCCAGGACTATCGATGCGCGCCAATCTATCCATACCTCTAGTGACATTGACAGCTGTCAGCTAGGGACGCGACGTTTATGCCGATAATCTAGAGTTGCGCCAATTCTATAGCACGGTACTAATTTTGTTCCTAATACAATATAGACAATAGTCTGGGAAAACATAGGCTACGCACTTTTGTTTTTTTTTTTAATTCCGAGCGGACGGAGTCACGGGAGGATGCTAGTCATATTTAAACTATACTTACAAGTTTGTAAGGTTTAAATAAAACCTAGAAATTAAAAAAAAATAAACATGACTATTATACAAATGTCTATTTTTTTATAAATACTTCCTTAGCGTGTATTAATAATAATAAAAAAAATATAGATAAAATCTTTATTATTACGCTTGATGAAGTAAATGAACAAAATTGTTATGCAAAAAAAATGTAATTACCTTAATAAATTCAAGTTCATATTAAACCATATTATTTTCCTGAACATAAACTGCCGTAAAACTAATAAAAAATCAGAATATTCCGTAATTATGTTATTATTTGAATTAAATAATATGATTTCATTGCACACGTATTAAGCGCAATACAATATAAAGTGAGGTTCAAAGCGCCTCACAATACAAATGCAATTACCTAGCACCATATCAGATGAAAGAAATCAAATTATATGGAACAGTTTTCAATCAACAAACATGTCAAATGAGATTAGATATAAATGTAAAATGACCATAAATTATAAACACATAAAATTTTTATATATAGATAAAAACTACGACTTTGTCTATACCATTTGATGTGAAGCAAGTCTAGTACTTCCACTTTCTTATCCCTATTGTACAGTAAATTATCTAATTCTCAACATTAAGCAAATACTTTGTATTTTGCTTCCTTTTTAAAAGTTTTAAAGTTGCAACAGACTGACAAAATTACACTTGCGACTTAATTATTTCAGTAAGTATTACCATGGCATATAAAATAATCGATTTCAAATTAAACCGTTTAACTATTGTCTATATTAACGCCAGTCAACTAGAAGTCTACATTCAGAATTGTGAATGCGTTTGTTCTAAACTTTTCGTTGACAAGAAGTAAAATTTTTTGAAATTCAATTTGAATAAATACTAAAATGCATCAATTGAGAAAGCGGAATAACCCCTCGGTATGTTTTTGGTATTCTATCTTGTTATTTCAATAACAAGACAATATATTTGCGGGTAGTGCGAGTGTATTTCCAAGTATGAGGATGGTTTGTACATTTACTACATTTATTCCATTGTTTTAAATGAGCTGTCATTCAATTCGTCTTCTCAGAATTTCTGATAATGTTGGGCCTTTTGCATTCACATATTACTAGATGTTGTCCGCGACTTCGTCCACGCAATATTAAGATAAAAACGTAGCCTATAATATGCCCCTCTATGTCAGCTACCCTTCAGTGAAAGTCTAAATGAAATCGGCCCAGCCGTTTCGGAGGTTATCCGGAACAAACGCGGCTTGCGGACAGGCAGACAATTTTTTTAATGCGATTTTCGTTATCAGAAACGCAAATACGCCATCTTCACAAAATCTGGATTTTTTTCCTATGATATTATAAACAGACACTCCCATTTGTATGTATAGATTACGTCATAAAATAGTGTGTATCTTCTTATGATAATCTTAAAATTTCCGACTTGTTTCAGACTAAGGGACTTTTCAACATGACCATCCGTAGTATGACTGTAACCGATGCCCACGATACCACGAAGAGATGCTGCAGAGGGTAATAATATTATAATAATAATACTTATGCTTTTAGTTTTTTTCTATATTTCTTTCAAACTCATATTATAATGTGAATTCAAATATTAGAACCCATATATTTAAAGAAATCAACTAAGTAAGAAAACCGATTTTTTCTAAACTAACTAATTCATCCCAACAAAGTTGAAGCCACTTACTAGTGTAAACACGCATGATTGATTTACTTACACCTCGATACTTCTTTTAAACTAAATAAATTTATTGGAATTAAACTAAAACTAATACAAATCGTTTAAGTAAGTACATATAAAATAAATTATCCCTTATAAAAGAAAAGGCAACCAGTACAAATTCAAGCAATAAAAAGATCTCGTTATGATCCATATTCTCAAAGCGTATTTTCCCTTTTTATTATGACAAAGAACTTTCCGGTCGAAAAACAATTTTCGTATAAGTCTTTTGAAGTGATAATATACAATAGAAAAGCATAGTTTGAAAGAGGATTTCGTTACTTAAATAGAGATACATATCCCTCGGCGATTTATGAAAGTAATAAACTAAAATATTATAAAAGTAACATAAATAAACTACTTTTAGATTTTTCTAAATTAAATATCCATGTAAACATTAGCACAGTTTACTGAATTGAAGCGCCTACTCATACGTGATACTATATTTTTTTTGTGCGACTTTGCTATGTGTTTTTATACGGCACCAACAAACTCTGTATTTAACTACACAATATGAAGGATTATTTTTATTAATACTTGAAAATCCCTTTTAAACTGTAAGTTCCTCAAAAGCTTAAGCTTGTCATACGTCAGCTTAACATTAAGCATTTCTCGCTTTGTTCCATTAAAATAAATAAAATATGATAAAAGATGTAAGTTAAATTCTGAGCGGATTTTTACAAATAAACAAAAACAATTGCTTGTATAAATCGTTAAGTTATGCATAACATTTCTCTCTCTACTTCAGATATTTATTTATTAATCTTTTATCTAATCTTTATTCCCAATCAGTTTTATTTTGTTCTCAACAAAAATCTCCAGGAAAATCTGCTTTGAAAATGGCCGAATTTTATCGTATGGAAATCAAGGAATTGATGCGTAATCCTAAGCCAGTAAAATGTATATCCGGATGCTCCGTTTAACAATAAACTTCTGACTGACTAAATATTCCCAAATACATATAGTTATCCCATTTACTCTTCTTGATGTAACTGAGATAGCAATACGTTTTAAAAGATTTAAATTGCTACTAACAACAGTAACTTAATATTATTTTAAAGAATCTTTGTACACAGTTTTGTTAAAGAATGTTTCGGCACAGATATTTTTATGATTTCTTACTAATAAAAAAAAATCTAGAATAAGTTTAAAACAACACGTCAAGTATTATCTTGAGAGATAATTGATTCAAAAACTTTACAGAAAAAAAATCCGGTAACAAAAAGTGGAAGCAATAAAATAGTATTGTGAAGTCTGTGATTAAATTTAGATTTGGTAACAGAATTAAACTTGTATTTGATCATACTTTAAAGGGCATAAGTACACGGAGAATAAATATCTTTCCTACTTGGGTTATCTACAGACATGAAAGGCTCATAAACATTCCTGACCCTTATTTTATAGAGACCATGAAACTATATTAAATCTAATAAATAATGCAATCATGGCGTAGCGTGTTATATATTTTTATAACCTAGTAATTTAAAACTAAAAAACATAAGTTAACGCAAAAAGTTTTAAACTAAAGGCTTAAAATGTAGAAAAGTATCCTATTTATCAATGAACACAAGGTTTTCTATTTTAAACACCTCACGAAGTTATACTCTTTAATTTACAATTTAATAAAGACGCTTTTCTGATTATCAGTGAATGCTCGTATAAAATTTCTTAGACTGTAAGACCATTAACGTTGTCCTTTGTAGTAAACCTTATCGAGAACGAAATCAAGGATTTTGCAAACATAAATCCATCAAACTCGCTTCCCGTTGTAAATTAGTTACACGAGTCATCGAACGTAAGAACAAATTAATATTAATCTGAAAGACAAGGTTAGAAAATGCGTGCTACGGGAAAAATAGTATGCGAAGAGAGGATTTAAAATAAGGAATTATTATTAAAAATAACAATTCAAGCAATGGTTAAGACATTTTAGTGAACATTTCTAAATGTTAATTTGCTTCTTATAAGAATTTGTCGTTTTCTTTCATGCTTTTTCGCATATATTTCGCAAAAGTTGGCAGTAATCTTCACTATGTCAAATACATATGAGAAAAATATCTGTTGCTCTTTACTTAGTATGCGTGAAATTTAAAAAAATACCCTTTGTTACTCACTGATAACGTAGCTTTTTATAATCGGCCCTATAGTTCTTGAGTTATTCCAATATATACAAAATAACCTTTTTATTTTCTTCTTTATAATATTAGTAAAGATAATATCACACATGTTATTTAATATGTTAGTTTTTTATTTATTAGAAATGTTCATAGTGAGGTCAGATCAATGTGCTCCAACCTTTATGTTTGCTTCGCGGGGAGTCGGACTGCAAAATTGAGTAATTTTCCAATCATTCCTTGTTGATGTTAAGGTTCATTCATACAAGTCAGTCGATGAATGTATGATCTGTAGTAGAAATCACAGAATTTAGAAATTATATGCATATCTTATAATTTTATTAGAAGGTAATTACAGAGACAAATAAATCCATCTTACTTATTATACATGCAAAAGTTTAGATGGATGGATTGATGTTTGTTTGAGTTTCTAGCCGGCTGAAAGGATCTCGATAAAATTTGGCACAGACGTAGATGATAGTCTGGAAGAACACATAGACTACTTACTGTGATTTTTTTGTTTTACTTGAATGGAGTCGCGGGCGAAAGCTAGGCAGTAAATGATATAAGCAGTCAGTGAGAAGCGTAAATATAATTTCTTGTTTTTATTGACCAAGACGACAGTTTTGTATTTGTTATCAAAATTAATTATGTAAATTTTTATATGGAAGTACTGTAAATTAGGAATATAGTAACAGAAAATACTAGAAATTTCTGATATCACTAATAATAAAGTTTAATAATAATGTTTAATAGCTAAAAATAAACAATTTAAAAGCAATATGAATACAACACAGTAGCAGCAGAGCAAAAACATAAGGAAATATTTAACCATTCTAACAAAAACTATAAATCAAAACAACAAAAACTTCTGTTACGTAGAAAAAATGCCGAAAAGTAAGTATTTTAATTTTCACGTGATTTCGAGTGAATATACATTACAGCAAAGCGCGTGATTACGACCAGTTCATGGCGACCCACTCAATTGTAGAAAATCATATAATTCGCTCAGTTCAATATAAATCTTTAATGTGATGTGTTGTATTTACGATTAACGCCATCTATGGATTTTAATGTGAACTTAGGTGTGTTTATTACCAACTTCAGAGCGTGATAGCCCGTAACTGCCCCATTGGACAGGATAACTAATGGCCATTCAGTTACATCACAAACGAGTACTATCTAATCAGATAACAGAAAAGTTTTAGAATATAGGTGTCGTCATTCTGGTCTGGGATCTCAATCTATTTGTTTATTGTGTATTTTCAGTGAAAACTTAACATTGTGCTCAATATTAACTTAGCTTCATCAAGTAAATACAAAATGATTTATTATTGTACCTATCTTCTTACTTATATAAAAGCGAAAGTTTAGATAGATGAATATATGTTTGTTAGAGTTTACAGCTTAAACGACTGAACGGATATCGATGAAATTTGTTATAGATTTAAAATATGTTTTCTTATTTATTTTTTATTATTATGTGATCTTGAATATGTTCAAGATCACATAGGCTACTTATTAAGGTTTTTAATGCGAGGACGGACACGCGGGCTAAAGCTAGTAACTAAATAAAACAATCAATTCAAAAAGACATAAAAAAAAACCTTACAGACGAATTGAGTACCTCCTTCTTTTGGGAATTCGGTCAAAAAGAAAGCTTGTGTAGTATTAATTTCAGTGTAATAGCAAACATGTAAATTCCCAACAGTCCTATCGGTTAGAAACGGTATTTCACACTATTAAAACACTTATAAATGTTCCCATCACACTTTTTCTTTCTAAAAAAAAAGAAACAACATGTTTTTGTTCGTATTTCAGTTGTGAAAGCCTACTGTTATACAGAATTTCAAACGTCAAATATTATGCGTAAAGAAATAGGTAACACATTAACCTACGTATTCGGTTACGGTATTATGCACGCCGTATTTGCGTATAAAAGGCGGTTAGTAACGTAATACTAGTCAATAATCTTAATAAAACCTTGCTATATGGAATATAATTTTTACTTCATAATTGAAGTGAAAAAAATAATAATATGAATTACTAGCTTTTGCCCGCGACTCTGTCTACGTGGAATTAAAAAAAAAAACAAAAGTAAGTAGCCTATGTTTTCCAGATTATCTTCTACATCTATGCCAAATTTCACCCAGTTCCGTTCAGCCGTTTAGGCAACAAACTTCAACAAACATCCCTCTATCTATCCAAACTTTCACATTTATAATATTAGTATGAAGTATTATTATATATAACTAATATAGGAGTAGTTGATCGTATTCTTAATGGTTTAAATCAAATATACAATCGCACAATACTTTCTGCAGATTGGCACTAAGCAGAAGCGTAAACGAAGTCAATTGACTTCCTGTACATCTGCATCGCTCCTACCGACATAAGGTTAAGTTTTTATATCAAATATTTTCAAAATACAAATATTAAGAATAAAGTTAAAGAAAATCGAATTAAGGAGCCGACGTTTATAATTATTTCTATAATTATAGTCTGTTATTCAAGTACCACAGCAATACATAACTCATAATAATTTAAGAAGGTGATTTAATTCGGTACAATGTCTAAATCAGTTTCATTTCAACAAAACTTTTTTTTTTCATATTCAAAATGCACTAAACATTCATCCTTTATGTGACAAGTTAATGTATAATAAAAAAATATAC